GCGGGAAGCTTGAATGGGGTTGGCGAGGTCGGGAGGCGCCTGAGGTAAATGAGGAGCCCGGTGGGTGTCTCTGGGTGCGGAGCGGAGGCTGCCGTAATGGCCTGCGCACCCTGGCAGTGTCCAAGGGCAGGTTGGACACAGGGGCTTGGAGCAACCTGCTCTACTGGCAAGTGTCCCTGCCTGTGGCAGGGGGGTGAGCTTTAAGGTCCCTTCAACCCAAACTATGATTCTGTGTTATTAAAGTGTTCTCACTGAAGGGAACGTCTTCCTGCAGCGTTCCAGCCTAATAAACGTGGTCATGTACTAGCAGTACATATACACGTTTGAATATATATCCCCACCCCACTCAATGTCAGGGGTTTTGTTCAAAAAATGTGTTGTTCTATAAAAGAGTCTCTTGTACCTTTCAACTTTCTTGTTTGTGTTTATTTACAGAGCTTGTGGACAAATGCATAGGTTCCCGTATTCACATTGTGATGAAGAGTGATAAAGAAATTGTTGGAACACTTCTAGGATTTGATGACTTTGTCAGTATCTTTGGTGGAAGTGTTTATGCCAAATGCTTTATGCTTCAGCTCATTTCATTTATTGCTTTTGAGAGGTTCGATTGCACTGGATAGAAACTTTTTCTGTGGGTCGGTCGTATTATTCTGGTATTTTCATTTTACAGCTAGAATCACAGTTCAGTAAAAATGAAAATAACTTTTAAGTATTTTGATTTTAAAACTCTGGACCTTATTTTCCTTGAAACTGGGTATTCAGATATGGTGTTAGAAGATGTTACAGAATTGTAAGTATTATTTCTATTTGGTTTCCAGAGCAAAAAACAGTGTATATGAATCTGTAAGCAAAGTGTTTTTACTTTTTTTTTAATACTTGCCAGCTGAATAGTTTATACTTTGGATTTAAGCTCTGGGACAGGAGAGCTGTGTCATAGAGTAGCTGTTGCATGAATTACACTTGTAATCGGGTTCCTATTTTGTAGCCTTAATTTTGCATGAATTATACTTGTGATCAGGTTCCTATTTTGTAGCCTTAATTTTGCATGGGTTGTGTGTTGAACTTTCCAGTATTTTGGTTGCTTTTACATTTCTTCAATTAAGGGATAAGCAAAGATTTTAGAAGCTGGCAGACTTAAAGCTGAGTATTTGTTGCTTTGTTGGGCCATGTTTATATTGGAAACCTATTTTAACTGTTGGTGGTATTCAAGAAATTGCCAAGATTTACAGAGTGAATCTGTGTCTTTGTGTATTGAGCAGAAAAGTACAATGGAACTTTTTAGTTGCCAGGTAGCTTTCTTTGCCCAGGTGGTCAATTACACTGTGGTGTGGCTGATGTCTTTGTTAGTTCTGACAGTTGTCATCTTAATGCAGAGATGTATGTTAGTTCTATAATCAAAACCTGAATCATTGTCCCTGGTAACATGTTCTTATGTTCTTTTTCTAATGTTGCTTCAGTGAGATTACACCTGAGGGCAGAAGAATCACAAAACTAGACCAGATTTTGTTAAATGGAAATAACATAACAATGGTAAGTCACTGTGGTTAAGAGGCTGCATCATTTATTTTCTGTACCTGTAAATCTGTCAGTAATTAACTTGATTTACTTTAAGCTGAGCTTTCCAGAAAGTTCCATTGCATAAGGTACTTTCAAATACCTTCCAGAGCATATTTGTGTATGAGTGATGCTGGAAAAGTCATACTAGTGCCTTAAGTCATATTAGTGCCTTATTTGGTTCGTGTTACAGTTTAAAAAGAATACTGATGAAAAGAGCATGACCCTAATATTAACTTATGTGGGTGTTTTTCTGGCCTTGAGGTGTGCAAGGGAATCACTGGTTTTGTTACCCACTCTGGAGGCTGGTTCATACAGTGGCTTTAAACTCCTCCAAGTGTTTGCCTGCCTAAGTATGTAGCTGGAATACATCTATTTTATCCATTATTACATGCATAAATGTGTCTGCAAAAGTTTGGATGCTTACAGGCTTGTTGAGTTATTTGGTGATGATTATCCACCTGATGCTCAGAGAGCTGTATGCACCTTTACGTGCTCTGAAAAAGTACCTGGAGGTCTGTTGGATGATGCCAAATGGAAAGCACTGTGGGTTTTGTTTATCATGTACTGATGTATGTAGATCAGTACTGACAGAGTACTTAGATATTATGATTATGCATCCTTAAGTTGAATTTTGCAACTTCCTAAATACTACAGAAATAGACCCACAGTAGTTTTTTGCTTGCCTGCATCAATGGCTACGAAGTCTGGACTTTGTACATAAGGGCATTCCTAATTTTGTAGGAAGAGAAGAGGAAGGCTGACTTAGACTCAGGTTGGCTCTGTGTGAATGAGGAATAATCTCCATTCTGCTGTCTTGCCTACCTTGGATCTCCTCACTGTGTGTCTCAGCAGGTGGACTTCATTTCTAAGCCTTTTTCTGCTTTGGTTATGTTCTGCATCCTTAAAGGATAGTGCACGTTTGGACTTGTGTGGGCTAAAACTACTGCCATCCAGTTCAGCTGGTGGGATACTGCCCTTGAAACAGAAGCTGGAGATTCTCAGAGTGTACATTTTCAGCGAGACATGGAGACGTTTCTGTATTACATCTTGTGTCTCTTTTGGGGTTCTTCCCACATCAGGAAGACTATGCTTTTAGACTTTTTCTTTGATCCCAGAAGCAGCCAAGCTCTTTGTCTGTAGTGGTCAGCTAACTATTGAGAATATATCAGTGATTCTTAAAGAATCTTAAAGAATGTATCAGTTATTCTTAAAGTTCTTTGCTTTCTTCACAGGAAAATGCTATGCTGATTTACTCTCTGCTGCCTGTAGAAGGGTTCAGGCATTCAGGCTCTGTTAGTTTTTGGGCTGTGCTTAGCAGTAGAAGTCAGAAAGAGGAAAGCAACTTCCCAGTATAACGACAGTCTGGGGATGAATCAGCAGTTGGAGAAATCCTTCATGAAAGGAAGCATGTTCTTTGTCTTTTTAAAAACAAGCTGTAGTGTTTCTAGACAAAATAATCTCCTTGAAGTGAATAACAAAGACAAAACCCAAAACATGTCTTATCTAGTAACTCCTTTGTGTCTTGTTAAACATTCTTCGTATTTTGGAGATTCTTTTTGGCATGTGCTTCTCTAGCAGTAACTGACCTCCTCTGTTGGCAGAGGAAGTTTATATCAAATGTAAAGACACTTTTGTGGTCTACCATGAAGTCTCCATGTGCTAAAATCTTCTAAAGCAAGAACTGTCACGTACGAGTTTGTAAAACTCAAATCTATGGCACTAACACACAATTGTCTTATTCTTTTATAGCTGGTTCCTGGAGGAGAAGGACCTGAAGTATAAATTGATACAGTTGTCATCTATGAAGACATATATATATAATAGAGTTTTTGGGATATGAGTGGGTTTGTTGGCTGTTTATTTTGTTTATGTACTCTTGCAGTTGATATTTGATAAAAGACAAGGATTTCCTCTTCAGGATAGGTGCATTGCTAATGATAATGCTGACTTTGTAAGTTGAAATCATGACTTTCTTGTAAAGACACACTAATCTGTCCTGAATAAAAGGCTTTCTTTTTGTTAGTTACTGTGTTTTGTTATGTAAGTGCACAAGTTAGGTTTTATAACTGGTTGATGGAGTGGAAAGGCAGTCTTTAGTTTTTCTACATCTGTTACATTTGTTTATGACCCAAGTCTATCACGACTCACAAGTCGTGAGCCAAGAGGTTGCTGTTCTTTGGAGTACAGGCAGATACTAAGCTGGATCATTTGATTAAACACTGCTTGAGGCTGTGTCACCAGAAACTTGGATAATTTTGAAAAGCATTTCAAAGTGGATGCATCTGTGTGATACTCAGCAGCCTTTGGCTCTACGAGGTTCAGCTCTCTTGGGCATCTTTTGGTTGGTAGACACACTTTCTTGAAGTAAAGGCACTGTAATGGTATTTGGCCAGCGAGGACAGACAGACCAGACTTTGTGTTTGGGAGGAGTGAGGAAAAAGGCTGGTGTTACTACTTCTCATCCACGTCTGTGGTGACTGCTTTCACCACTAAGTGGTGCTGTGTATCCTTACTTAAACGGGGAGCTGCTGTGTGTAGGCTTAATTAAATTGGGAGCTGCCCTTGCCTACTTTTGAAGTTCAGAGTAGTCATTTTAGGATAAACATCCTTTTGGCTGCATCTGTTCTCCTGGGATATAAAAACTTGGCAGATGTTTGGAGCAACTGCTACTGTAAGAGAATTTCTATAAAGTAAGGAATTGCTGTGTCTATTTTGTCATGGTGGGCAAAAAATAATGTGATTCTAAATCCTATCCACTGCAACTTATGCTTTCATAATGCACCACTCAACTGATCTCAGTGTGTAAATGTCTTTGGAAAGGAATAACAGGTGCCTGCTGTTACTGTAGACAAGGAGGGCACAGGCTCACAGAGACAGGACATGCTTCGCCTTCCTGCCACCAGAAGAAGAACTTTTGAAGAAGGGATCTCAAGAGCAAGAGACTGAAAGGAAGAGCCTTTTGCCTTGCTTTATTTACCAGAAAATCTGCCTTCTGCTAGCTGGGTCTTGCCTCGAAACATGTCGAGAACGTCTTGCTTTAGCATGTTAAAAGGGAAATAGACTCCCTCCTCTCTCCCAGGGAATGTGCTATTTGGACTTCCTTGCTCTGAGTATCTGCAGTTGGCATGTTCAGGCTGCATGGTGACAAGCTATGCCATTGACTCCCTGAATGGATTTTCATTTCTGTCCCCATTTCCTTCTCCAGCTTTTCTTCTTTTAATACAATTAAAAAAATACTCTTTTTCTTTGAACTTGCATTTGATTGGAATGTCATCGGTTGGTTTGGGCTCCAAACACTTTATTTCCTAGCAATAAGCTGAGTCTTTTCATCAGAACACTTAAAGTGTTCTAGCCAATGTAGTACTATGTGTTGTGTTGCTTTTCTGTTGTCGGGAAGGTTCTACACATGTTCCAGTGTGTGCACTTGATTTCTACTCTCAGTATTTTGAAAACAGTCTTAAACTGAAGAGAGGTTTCATGCTTGGGTGAGGCGAAGTGCAGATCTTGACTCAAAAGCAGCTTTACAAGGGGAAAGGTGAACTATTTTGTGTCTTTCTGGGTTTTTATTCTAATAGCATGAACATCTTGTTGTCCCAGGATTTTGTTATGTCTAGGAAAAAAGCTTGATATTGCTTCTCCCTCCTCTGGTTATGGGTTTTTTTCCCCACTTAAAGGAAGTGCTAAGACTGCTACATTTTAGGAAGACATTTTACTTCATGACTTGGAGGTCTGCAGGCATCACTCCGAAGACAGTTTCTGTGCATCCAAATGCTGTTAATCCTTTATAATATGAAAAGAAATATTTTATTTTTATAAACTTCCAGCTGAGAATACACAGTATTCCAGATGGATCCGGCTTGCTTTGCATTCAGTATTCCTGTAGCCTATTGCTTTGGAAGTGCAGGTAATAAGCTTTTCAACTGAGTAAGTGACTGCTGGTTTGGGGTGTTTTCCCCTGCCCTAGAAATCTAGTGCTTAATCATACTGCACTGTGCTGTAGAAGTTCTGGACACTGGTGTCCACTTAGGGTGCCACTACAAGTAGGTCATTTAACATAGTAAACCTAGGCTTTAAAAATACGTAAGAGTTCTGCTTAAAGTTTAGAGCAGGGAAATCATCAGGTTAAAATAACTTCATGCTTATGACATGCAAAGTGATGGTTCCTCTCAGCTTTTGGTTTCTGGAGTTTTTTGTTGTCCCTCTTTAAGATGGCACTGGTTGCAATGATCTTTAGTTTTGCTACATGGCTAACTGTCTTAGTATGCACATAGTTCCTCTCTACCTACTACTTCAGTTTACTTGCAGCCATAATTAAGACAGCTGTTTGCAGTTGTGAGGTGGTATGCTTGCCCTATAACAATATAGGCTTTCCCCGTCCAGTATTTATACTCCTTTTCAGGATTTATTATGTATTGTTTTTTTACCACATGAAATGGAAAGAGATTTCTGGCTTGCTTTTGGCTTTTAGACAGTGTTTTATCCTTGGGGAGTTGCCCAGCAATTAATTAATTGAGCTTGGAATTCAGTTGAAGGACATTTTTCATACCTGTGTTTAAATATTGATGCTAACAAGCCATCATACCTGTTCATAGCTTTATAGATCCTTAAAGATAGGCAATAGGCTTATTTCTTAATAAAGCCTAATCTTTTTCTCTTTGGCAAGAAGCAGCGAGTCTGCCTGGCTCTGTAGTAATTGCAGCTTTTCCCTACCAACAGACTTGAAAAAGGGGAGAACCTGTATGAAGTACACAGGATGCTGATTTTTAAAACCCTAAGTCGTGTACCAGTCTCAGGAAGAACACATGTGACTGGAGGTGAGTGTCTGTGGTGCAGCATCACTAACATGTGCTACTCCCCCTCCCCCAGTTTTGAAGAAGGAAGCATTTGCTGTATGAAAGATTCTCAAGGACAATTTCTGACACTGCTAAAGTTTATAGCAAATTTGCACTGGTTTCAGTGGTTCTGCAGGTTTGGTTTCTGCTCCTGCATTAAATCTGAAAAGAACAAACCTACATTTGAAGGAGGGTTTTGTACGAAGGGTTATCAAACTAGTAACCTACTTTAAGAGTTATTTTAAAATACTTGGAGTGTCAGTTAAAGGCCAATGTGCAGTTTGCTCCCACCTGTGCTCATATCATAGAATTGTTTGGGTTGGAAGGGACCTTAAAGCTCATCCAGCCCCCTACCATAGGTAGGGCCACCTTCCACTAGAGCAGGTTGCTCCTGCATCAGCTATGACTATTGAGTGCAGTCAGCAGCCCACCTCCGAACTTTCTGGTGTCCAGTTGGAATGTGTACCTTGTCAGACTTCGTGGCCGTGAGCTGATGGGTCATGGCTGTCTCAAAGCATAAAGTGCTGTAAGTTGCATCTCTTGCATGGCAGTGACTCTTCAACATTAGTAACCATACAATGGGGTGCAAGACAGATTCAATGAGTAATGTGTGTCATTATCAAAATCACTGTTTGCACTTCAACACGTTGCAGGTCCTCTCTTTAGGGGTGGTGTTGGCACATCTGAGAATTTGCCTGATTGTCTCTTGAACTCATTTAACTTTTGGCCTCTACTAAATCAGTGGCAATGTTTCACAATAGAAAAGGAGAATATTCCCTTTAAAAAAAGAAAGGAAAATGGGGGAGGGGGAGAAGTGGGGATAAAAAAGTCTGTTTTCTGCCAACGTTGTGGGCTGCTCACTCACTTTTTCCATAGAACTCATGTTTGTTTTAACTTTTCTGCCTTAGTCTGTCTTCTGCACCTTTGGCTCTCTCTTGAAGTGTGTCTGTACTTTCCTACATTAGTAGGATCTATTTTATAGGTCTTTGATAGTCTTTCAATTATACAAGTAATTTAAATTTTGGATCAAGTGTTTTTGCTTATTATGTTCTGTGAGTAACTGTGAAAATCAGTTGCACCTTTTTTAATTAAAGTAAAAACTAAGAAATAAATTGAAAGTAAATGTTAGGGTCCTAAATCTACTCAATGTCACGAGATCATGAGAAATACAGAGAATTTGTATTGAAAATGATGGATGTTTTTCAAGGTATTTTACCAGGTCGGAGGCAGGAGGTGGTGTGTTTGGTTTCATTGATTTGAGCAGGATTCACTGACTTAAACAAGAGGAGAATCTGGTGAAAAGATTTTATACTTAACCTAATGAAGTGTTGTGATGACTTGTCATCTGGAATCAGAACTGGTTTTGATCATCTTAACAGGAAGATCTTGAAATTATACTGTTAGTGATGTTACTTCATTGATTTCTTGCAGCTCCTCAGGGTCATTAAGGACAAGAAAGACCCATCCTTTATTGTTATGGTGCTATCACCAATGATGGAAGTACTACACTCTCAGCCATAAGATGCAGTTTAACTTGCTAGATTCTGCTTCTATGGCTGATGATCATGCTTTTATACTTGTTGATTTAAATGTGTTTGTACAGCTTATGCTTATGATATGGCTGGAATGAGACAGGATGTGAGGACTGTGTATGATCATGGTTTGTAGTTGGGTAGGAGGGATTGGTTCAAGTTACTTCTTGGACATTAGGCAGAAGTTCTTCCCTGTGAGGGTGCTGAGGCGCTGGCACAGGGTGCCCAGAGAAGCTGTGGCTGCCCCATCCCTGGCAGTGTTCAAGGGCAGGTTGGACACAGGGGCTTGGAGCAACCTGCTCTAGTGGAAGGTGTCCCTGCCCGTGGCAGGGGTTGGAGCTGGATGAGCTTTAAGGTCCCTTCAACCCAAACCAGTCTGGGCTTCTGTGATTCTCTGATCTGTGCAATTTAATATCTTGCATATGAGTGAACAGTGTAATTTTAACACTTTCCTTTTTACAAGAGGAAATGTATAGATTGGTTTTATCCTGTGTTTTAATTAAGAGATATATTTACTGAAGACAATGAGTCTATCCCAAACACTGAAACACCTCTGGTTTGGGTGCACTATTAGAACTTCTGTAAAACTTTCAAATCATAACAGTCTGTCAAGTTATGCTTGTGGAGTCTGAGACATTACATGTTGCCCCATGAAAAGGTAAATATGGATAATAATTGATGTTTGCTTTGTAGACTATGCCTTTT